GAGCATTGCATGGACATGTGTAATTTCTGTAGAACTCACCAACATTTTATAAGGAAAAAAAAATTATATTTCCCAAGAACTTTGTAAATTCACCTCACTACACTTTATTTATAATAACCTCTTTGGAGCAACTTTAACTGGCATTAGAGGGCTTTATATAGTTTGCCAAGGGAGAAAAACAATTAGGCATAATTCTTCCAGGACTAACAGAAAATCTGCTAGCAGCCACATGGATGCAAAATGAATCAATTTGTATACTCAATCAAGTAAAACAGAGAAAAGCTTTTGGAACACAACAGAAATTGTTAAAATAATAAGGGTTGTCATCTCTTTTCCTTAACACTTCCCAAATTCCTTGCCCATCTGTACATAACCACTGATCAAGTATTACCAGCAGAGGAACTATGCACTACCAAATCAACCTGTATTGCCTCTGAAGGAATCCTGGGTAAGAAATATGTCACCAAATGTCATATGTCAGAATTATTTTTTAAAGGATGCAGAATGTGTGTTAGGCAAGGGCCTTGTGGCTCTTCCATGTGGAAGAGGAGTAAATGGTGTTCTGAGACCCCCAAAACGACTGAGTTTAGCAAAAGTCCACCCACATGCTCTCAAGCGGCCTTCAATGGTCTCTCATGGGATAAGGACCCCTGAAGATCCACAGTTTTGTTAAGGTTCAGCTGGAGTTGGAAAATGTGGGGAAATAAGATGTTACCTTCATTGTTGAATCTCCTGCCCCAAGATTGCCCCTTTTTGGGAATCTGTTCTTGGGAGACTGGAAATCCTTGATGTGCTCATATTCACTTAGAGAAAGGGTGTCTGTATTAATATAAGCATCAAGAAACACTATTGCCCTAACCTGGAAGTCATCACAACTACCTACAATCTCACAGTGGCATCAAAAACTATGGAAATTATATATCATGGTGAAGCTCACAGATAATCTGGATAATATTCTTAAACCCCCTGGACAATCCTATTTCTCCTCTATATGGTTACCTATTCTGGAATACTTGTTGTCTCAAGGGGAAATTCCCCAATTGGTAGTTGATCTTGGAATATAATGTTTTTATATCTTACTGATTACACAGCTATAATTCAATATAGACTAATAGACAGATTATTGTTTACTTACCCAATGATCTGGTACGTTGTTCTGTGTTTTGTTTTGTTTTACGCATTGTATGTATTCTATTCTATTCGATCACACTGTATGTATGGTGATGCTTGTTTGTTATTTCTCAATAAAATGTTAATTGTAAAACAAAAGTTCAGCTGGAGTCCTTAAGAGCAAAGGACAGAATCATAAGACAGCAATGGGGTGGTTTGGCTAGGTCTCATGGTCTCCTACTTTAGCTGGAGGAAATTCTTCTCCAGCTTAAATGGCTCCTCCTTCAATGGAAGAGAAATGATGGAGAACTGAGGCTAAAGGAAGGTTCCAAACATTGTTTAGAAGTGTGATAGGATTCAGGCCTTTGGTTAGGTAAAACCTGCCTTGCCTGTGTGGTGGAGAGTAGATTCACAGAGGGCAGCTTCCCTGTCTCCCCTGTGACTTGTGCTACTCCAATCAAGAGCCAAGGGCTGTTCACAGCTTAGACACACCTTGAGGATTTCCATACAGGCTTGCTAACCCCAGCTCCTTTTCAGTTCAAATACTACTTAATGCCCTTTGGGGGCTTGCTTTTGTTCTTGTAGCAGGCCTTCATTCTTTTTCTCAGTGAGTTGGCATTGCATTGACTAGATTTAGGCATCTTTAATTATTCAGATAATACATAGAAAAGGAAGTTGTTGCAAGTGTATTTTCCCCTCCCATCTCCATGTGGAGGTTCAGAGACAAGACAATCACAGTGCTGAATTGCTTAGCAACTGCAGGTTAAAAAAAGCTAATAAGTCATAATTTATATGTGAAAAGATTGCAGGGGGCTAGCAGCACACTTCTGGTGCACTTAAGACTACATGCTGAGAATTCCATTCCCCACTGACAGCCGATTCAAAACACAGTAATATACAACCATTCTAATATGTAAATTGAGCAGTGTCTGGTCAAATAGTCATCTGTTTGGTGATTTGTTGCTCTTTTACATATTAGCCTACCCGGCAACTTCTGTAAATCATCCTACCACTGAAAACAAGTAATGTGAACAGCTTCTTAATGAATTCACAGTGCTGAATCAATCTTGCTAGAGCTACACATTAAAGGAAAGAAGATCTGCAATTGTTTCAAGTAACCTAATGTGGTTTCTGTACCTCCCCCCATCAGTTCACCAAGCACATCTGGAGATGATGAACTGATGCTTTTCAGAATTCATTAATCAAGTTCCAGTCTTCATTCTGTTTGACAAATAATCAATTACAATTCTATACCTCTTTAAAATTTCTACCAAAATAAAATGCTCCAATAAATCTAATTTGATAAATTCGCCCTGAAAATATTTAATTATAACCAGGTACTTTGCTTTTGATGCTATGGCACGCACATGCCAGTCACCCAATTGTATATCTTTAATAGCATGATCCATAATCAAGTTAAACATAAGTGTCTGTATTTAAACTGATTTATTCCTATCAGTATCTAAGTTTCAGTTGCAGAAGACAGTGTTCATGTATAGGATCTCTATCAGCACCTTATGATTTAAATTCTCAGACATGGAAACATGGTCATTCTTTAAATGAAAATGGACAAAGTTCTGACTGCATTCATTTGGAAAACATGAAAGTTATGAAGATGAGCTTTTATCTAAAGAACATAAATAGATTTGGTAACCAAATCTCTCCAAACAACCTGTCAACACAGTATGTTTCTCAACCATCACAAGACTTCATTAGGTATTAGAAAACTCATTAAAATTCTTTCTTTAGTCTGAGAAATCCACTGCTTGTATTGAACTCTTGAAATAGCATAATAGGTGAGATAGATGTCCACTAAAAACACCATTCTTCATTATTCAGCTTTGCAGGTCTGCAGTCAGGCAGCAAGGACATTTTAAAACTTTCAAGGAAACAAGTGCTTTATGATGGATGAGGTCAAGCAAACGAGAACATGAAAAAAAGTTTTAGAAGCTGACAAATTCATAAAAATGGAATGGCCATGGGGGGTGACCTAAAGAACTTCCCAGCCATATAATGCAATAACATATGCAGAACTGACATGATAATGAACTCAAAATTGCATAGCACATGACTGTGTTTCAAGCAAGCAAAGTTCATGATGCAGAGATGCCACACACGGAAGCCAGAGAGCAGCCTGGTAACACTGTGTGAGAAGAAAGCCAAACACAAGCTGGGTTGGCTTCTCCATCTTTCTTCCCAACATCCCATGATCAGCATTCATTAACTGCATGGTGACAATGTCAGCCATATTCCACTTGCAGAGAGCCAAACTCCTCTACTTCATCTCTCAAAACACCAAGGATCTCAATTCATTGTATATGTGAATGTCTTCACCTAATTCTTGCTTCAGTAGACACTCATTCTTGCCCCCAATAGAAGGAGCCCAGGAATTCTGAATATAACACTATGCATCATTGCCTATTATCCCTCCTATTTGTGGAAACAGAAAGCTTACTGCACTTCCTCCACTAGCAGAGCATGAAGGTGGGGGTGATTCTGCATCTTCACTGCCCCCTCCCCCCATGCTGTATAGCATTTGTCTACCTGACAACTAGCATCATATTTTTACAGGCCAAGGAAAGAGGGGGAAGTGGGAAAGATCCACATCTGCAAGTGCTATTGTCCTTGAAGTTCATAGGATTCAAGGTAATCTGTAAATTCTGTTGTGCTTAAGGTTCATAAGAGTTGCTGTCATTTTTTACTTATTACATTTCTAATTCACCTTTCTCCCAGGTAAGAAATTGGTATAAATTCTAACACTTCTAGATACATAATTAGGAAATATTAGCAATTTCAAAATCTACTAAGAAAAAATGCTTCCCATCAAATGGAAACAAAGAAACAAAAACACTGTGCTTGACCTTTTGGTCAGATAGTACTGCTCAAAACTGAATTTCTGATAATATATTAGGATTAGGGATGGGCACAAAGCAGCACACGAAGCGAAAGTCATCATGACTCACATTTCGGGTGATTGCTTCATTGACAAAGTGATCCACGACTTGCTACATTTTGCTTCGGCAAGTCGTGGCACTTTGTTGGGCCAGACAATCTGGCACCAATCAATCAACTCCCCAGGCAATGAGGAGGAGCTTACTTCCGGGGTTGGGCTGCCCAACTGGAAGTTATCTCTGAAGGCATTTAAAGTGCTCCCAGAGTGAGCTTTAAAGGCTTTTATAGGCCTTATATGCCCTTATATGGGCAGGACCCACTTTGAAGTGGGCTCCAAAGGCATTTAAATGGCTTTGGAGCTCACTTCTGATTGAGGCTGTAGCCCCACAAGCTTCCCAAAGCACAAACTGGTTTATGAAATTGAGAAGTTCAGGGTTTGTAGTTCGTGAATACCACAAATTATGAACCTCCATGAACCTCAATTTTTTCCGGTTCATACCCACCCCTAATTATAGTAGTGTATTAGGTGTACAGAATATGTCTTCCTATTAAGAAAGTATCTGTGATCTTAGGTTATCCCCAGGGGGGAAAAGCAATATACCAGCCTGGTAGAAGAGGAATTAGGAAAGATTCTGCTAGCTTGCCATCTGGGCTGAGTTTATTTCTCCTCTCCTTGCAGGTGCTTAACCTGGGTGAGGCTAAAGATGCAAACCCATGGGTGTGAGTCAAAGAGAAACAGCCAAAGTCTGAGGCTTGTGTTAGGCAGCTTGGTGAACCAGGACCATCCCAGTATCTGTTTGTGCTTTATTTGTTTATTTAACTTGAAAAATTGGTACTTGTAATTATATTTTGGTCTTGTTTGCATGTCTCTTTGGGAGAAAAGTGGCAAAGAAATGCCTAGATTAAAAAAAAATCATATGATAGACTTTAGAACATCAGTTCTTATTTTTTACAAGTGCTCAACAAAGTAGAGCTCACTAATAATTGCAAATGATCACCTGTAGCCACTGTGACTGGTCACTATGTCCTGATGTCCAGGCGTTCACTTTGCCTTGTTTGTCTAGTCGAGCTTTTCTAGGTTCCCATGTAAACATGTCCATGTTGAGTGTTCTGAAGATGCTAGAAGCAGTAATTTGATAATCCTGTATGTGTCCTGATTTCATCCCCAGTGGTTCAGAGCAACCTAAGGGAATTTAAAAAGATGTTTGAAAAAATGCATTTCTGTATTTTCTCACCATTTTTCAGTTCAAGGCATTTTGGGATTTTAAATATTTATTTAAACTGCAATCCCACAGTAGAACCTCTACAAAGAATCTTTTAAAACCAACATCAAACATACAACACCAGAAAACGTTATAAAACCATTAAAATATTAATGTGCTTGTATGTTTAGCTGTCTTGTAGACTGTATTTGGTAGTAATTCAAGGTATATCCCTGGAATCAAAACATTAATTTCAGTCTATATAAACTGTAGACAGCTTATCTCTGTTATGAAACCAAGTTCAGCTACTGTGGACATCTGGGATACATAGCTCATTCCACGTAATCTTTCATTTGTTCACTGCTTAGTTAGCTAAAATCATCAGTATTGGTTAATGAAAGATGTGATTGGATTGCTATACCGATACTAAAGTCCTGAAGAAGAACTATATTTATTTACTTCATTCAAATCCCACCTTTCTCCCCAGTGGGGACCCAAAGAGACTTACATGACTCTCCTCTCCTCCATTTTATCTTCACAACTATCTGTAAGGTAGGTTAGGCTGACAGTGTGTGACTGTCAATGAGCCTTCATGGCACAGTGGGAGATTTGAACTTTGGTCTCCCAAATCCTAGTTTGGCACTCTAACTACAACACCACACTGGTTCCATGCCACTGTACCACACTGAGCTTTATGAATCTTCTGCATCAAGTTTCTCTCGATATATTTTGTCAAACTCCTTCAACAATGTGCTACAGCATTAAGGAAAAAAAAATGTTCTCCAAGGTAGCTTTATCATTTTGCATTCTTTTAAGAGGCTCGAGTCTTTTCCCCCCTCCCCTCAAAGCACTGACAGTTTGTATCTTGTTAGAAATGGCATCTAGCAGCAGTAGTCTGAGGATTATACATATTACGCCAAAAGAGAGAGGGTCATAGGGTCATCTGTTAAAGCAGTCTTGCTGATTCACTATTACTTCTTCATGTGGCAAGCACAGGTTTTCTAAAAGCTTTCTGTATCCAAAGTCTGACCTGACCTTACTTTGGAGACCTCTAGTGGAATGACCGCACAGTGTGATTGCCATCATAAAGCTGAGTTCTTTTGATGCTTTACACAAAACTCACATAGCAGCCAAGTCTTTCTTTCATTGGTATTAACCTTTATATGCTTTTTTACTCTTCACTTGTTATTAAGAGGCCTGTGGCCTCATTATAAAGCAATATGGCTTGAATTCAGAGAACTCTGAATGCAGCCGACATTGCAGGATTAATCTTTCCTGATTTCTCCTGTTTGCTACACTCTGATAGTCAGGGTAATTTGATACAGGGGTATATGATAAGAGGGATAAGTTGGCAGAATTTTACCAGTTCCCTTTCCTGTTGTAGCAGTCCTCCATACCACCTACTGCTTACTTCTCTCCTTCCCCCACACTAGCCAACCTACCTTTATCTGCCCCCCCATGAAAATGGCTGTGATTGTGAGCACACCCCTTTGCCTTACACACATGTAATTATAGACATTGAAGCAGGAAGCAGTTGCAGTTGGGGTGTGCATAAAAACCCCAACCCAGTATTTTTTGGCTTTGGGTATATTAGACCCCCAAAACTATTGGTATTTCTGAATTCCTAATACCAGTATGGTATTCAGATTTAGCCCCCCCCCCCACCGGTTCCTAATTTTTTGGGTCCATTATTCCCTGTGGGGATACTTTCTGGGTGGCTGTTTTTAAAGATAGAGGCACCAAAATTTCAGTGGGGCTGCAGGAGCCTGGCCTTTAAAAAAATCTTCAAATTTCAAATAGATTGGACCAAGGGGTCCAATTCTATGGGCCCCTTAACAGAGTGGCCCCAGCCCCAGCCACTATGGAGAGGAACCCCCCCCCACCTGCTTTCAGGGCAAAGGCCATGCCTGCAAGCAGCAACCACTGGTCACATGTCTCCCATGGAAGAACTAACAACAAGGCCAAAACAACCACTGAAGAACCTAGTAATCCCAGAAGAACAACAAGCCAAGTGCAAAACCAAACAGAACCAAAATCAAATCAGAGAATCTCTGCAGTGGAAACGTGGGGGGGGGACACTTTTGCAAGCCTAACAGAACCAGCTGCAATGAATAGAAGCCCAGTAGACTCCAGGGCCACTGTGGCAGTGGAATACCAACAAAAGTAATGTCAAACCAGAGAAACTCTACTCTGGAAACTGAAGGTGGGGGCACTTTTGCAAGCCCAGTAGAACCCAAGGCCACTATGGCAGTTCAAGCCCAACAGAACCAAAATCAAACTAGAGAAACACAAAAGAATAAATACAAGCAGGGTTGGGAGGGGATTTTGCAAGACCAACAGAACAAATGGCAATGTGTAGAAGTGCAAGCTCAACATGACTAATGCAAACTAGAAAATCTCAGCATAACAAATCCAAGGAAGGGTGTGTGCATGTGCAAACACTGTACAACATTTTTTAAAAATACCTAAAGGAGACAAAGAAACTCAAGGAAAAAACTTGAAACTGAGAAAAATACTTGAAACTGATACAAACAACTGGGCAAACCCACTGAAAACCCTGGGAGACACAGAAACAAGGGGGGGGGAACAGTCCCCGAGAGTCTGCAAATGCTTGCTCTGATATTTCCAGTGAATACCGAATATTTATGAGATTTTTAAGACCATTTTTTTCAGTATCCCCCAAATTTCCTGGATATATTTGGGATGCTGAATATATATAAGAAGAAGAAGAAGAGATTGGATTTATTCCCCGCCCTTCACTACCCAAAGGTGTCTCAGAGCGGCTTACAAACTCCTTTCCCTTCCCCTCCCCACAACAAATACCCTGTGAGTTAGGTGGGGCTGAGAGAGCTCTGACCGCAACTGCTCTTTTTTCAAGGACAGCTCTTATCAGAACTGTGACTTGCCCAAGGTCATCCAGCCAGGTGCAAGTGGAGGAGTGGGGAATCAAGCCCGGTTCTCCCAGATTAGAGTCCGTGCACTTAACCACTACACCAAAATGCACACCCCTAGTTGCAGTGTACACAGAATCACAGATTTATAAGATAAAGGATACCTTCACGTTTATTATTTATATTCTAGTAATAAGGGAAAAAAGGTAATGAGCTTGTAATGGTTTCATGGGGGTTAAGAAAATGTGACAATCCCAAGATGCATTACAAAGATATGTTTGGTAAACAAGAACTGTTTCAAAAAAGGGATTTTCAAAATTGTGTACATCACCTATTTTGTACCTTTACACAATTGTTTAAAATATTATGGACTGTCGTTTTTCTGGTTAAGAAAGCTAAAAATCCCCCCCAAAAAAACATTCACAACCATTACAGAGATGTCTGTTCCTTTGACTACTTATGTGCAATTCTAAACAGAATTGTACCTTTTAGTGTACTCAGAAGGGTGTAACTCTGTTTAGTATTTCACTGTTAGTTAACCATGTACGCATCTCTGTAAAGTAACAGACACTTTCAGCCAGACCAAATCATTAACAGCACCTCTTTGAGACACAGTTAGGGTTGGCTGGCAACTGATGTGAGGATTGGGCACGTGGGGGAGAGGAGGAAACGATGTTGTGCAGCACCACTTCTGGTTATGTGACCAGAAGTGACATTGCCAAATCTTGCAGTGTTCTCAGATTTCCCCAAAACTCTATGGTAAAACCCACAGAAATGGGGAAAACAGATAGAGCACTGGGCAATGTGACAAACTGACTTCTGAATTCCTAGCTGTAATGTTGTAGCACTGTATGATGCCATCCTCCACGTATTTCCCGCTACTGCTCCACTGAGCACCAGTGGGTGGACAGGGAGTGCCAGTGGGGGAACCAGGCATCTGGCAAACCTATCCACAATATTCAGACTGGGCCACAAAGCTTCACATGATCTGTAAGTTGGTAGAATATTGATGGTGTCTACAAAACAGCCTTGTGTTCTCATTACATAGGAACCCCCTGATTCAGTTACTTTTACAGGATCAAACAAATAAGCAAACAAGCCAGAAATTGCACGGTGATAAGCCACATCAGCCAATAAAGTGCCCTTAAAGAAATAGGCCGAAGTGACCCAGTTGTTACTCCTTGATCTGTCTAAATGTTTTCAACTCATTAGAGCTTTCCATAAGTAAGAGACCTGTTTTTGAGTTTTCCAATCTGCCTTTGCTTTTACAGAGCTGAGTATAGCAGCAGTCTAATTTTGCTGCAATCCTTGTTTGTTTTGTTGGGATCCAAAGAACTGAGGGTTCCTTATCAATGACTCTTGGCTTGTCAAAATAATTTGCTTTTCCACTCTACTGCAGGGAATTCAGTCACTGATTGTATATTCCTGGTGTCTCCAGTTTGTGCCCACCCTTGTCTTCTCCACAAGGTACAATTGATAAGGCTAAATCTTCTTTGTATTTCTAAAGATTGTTATTTGCAGGTTGTCAAAGTACTTCTATTGATTTTCAAGAACATTTCCACTTCATAAGTGCGCTTCTTCTAACTCTTTTTTGCTCCAGTAAAAAAAAAAGAAGAAGCATTTTAGTTTTGAGATGGAGAGAGTGAGTCTAAATAAGATAACAAACATATGTAAGCATCAATATATGAGTATCAGAAATATAAAAGTCCCATTATACCTATAGTGCAGCACGACTATTCATTTTTAAATGAGACATAATTTGCTTGTAAAAAGATGAAAAACTTAAAAAGAGAGGGGAGCAATACTGTGACATCACAGGGCCAGCCAATCAGCACAGGGCTAGCTTCTTCTGCAAGCAGAAAGAATGGGCTTCTCCTGACCTGGGTCCTAAGAAGGAGACTATGTCTGTATGGTGAATGTAATCCCCTCCCCCAACCCGGGCTCATAATCTGTATTACCTATGTTTGCATGCACAGTTATGCTTTTATAGCTAGGAGAGGGAAGTGGCTACAGCTCAATGGGAGTGTTTTGCATGAAGAAAGTTCTTAGATTCAATCCATGGCATCTCCAGTTAAAGAATGTGAGAGAGG